TCTGTTCGTTTGTTACACGCTTCGCGAGCACGTATACGTTCTTCTGTATTTTCACGTATGTCGCGATGAACTTAATTTAACATCAAACGTACCGACGCTATAGTATAGCGACTATACCTATTCTTACCATAAGGGGCCATTTGACTCCTTGGAAAATGAACGTTGCTTTTCAGAAAGAAACTCTGAACTTATTAACCCTTTGCACTCGAGAGGTGACTCTCAATCGCTGTTAGGTTTCACACAGCGAATCTGCAATACCTAACGTTTCTTTAGGTTTAATTTTTTTTTTTTAATCTAATTGCGTCTAATAATAAGAATCTAGGAAAAGGTCATTTGCCACCGCTTGGTATTAAATATACGTTTAGTATTAAATTGCAATTTCGATAGCACACGTAACACGTGAATATCTGCTCGTCTCTCATTCGTTATTTGAAATTTGTACCTGGATAAGAATTCTTCTCGCCATTGGTTTCCCCCAGAGTGGTTACGAAAGGCTCTCTCGTATTTTCACGTATCGTACTGTTGCTAGCTCGAGAGTGGCTTCATGCCAAGTTAGCCCTAAACAAACCCTAAGCAAGTTCGTATCGGCTGTTTCCCGAGGTATCGGAGTGAAAGCATCAGGTAGCGAATGCATATTCCGTGCAGGATTTCGCGGCGTTTCGAATCGCGCGGGACGGGGATCGTTTAAAAATGGAATTTCGTAAGCGAACAAAAAAAAAAAAAAAAAAAATCTCATCGACCCCAATTGCACGGGTTGTACAATGGGCGTCCTACATAACATTATCGTTCGAAATGTTCCCTTTGTTTTTGCAATCGTAGAGTAGACTGGCCTACAAAAGTTGACGAATGTCTCGCGGTAAAAGTATTTCTAGCTTCGGACGAACGTTTCGTAAAGAAAAGAGATTCGTTTGTGTCGTCGATACCGAATCGTATGTTTCACGGCGTGATTATTATAGCAAATTTTCACACGAAATTTTCATACGAAAGTTGGAAACTGTAATATACAGGGTGTCCCAAAAGTCGGGGAGGAGCCGGAAATGAGGGGTAGCTGAGACGATTCCGAACAACAATTTCCTTTGCAAAAATGTCGGATGGGGCTTCGTTGAGGAGATATTAAGAGAAAGGCCCCGACCAATCAGAGCGCGCGTAGACCGTTGGAGCGGCCGCGGTAGCGAAGGCTACGCGCGCTCTGATTGGTCGGGGTTTTCGCTTGATATCTCCTTAACGAAGCTCCATCCGACATTTTTGCAAAGGAAATTGTTGTTCGGAATCGTCTCAGCTATCCCCTATTTCCGGCTCCTCCCCGACTTTTCGGACACCCTGTATATTTTTCTACAAGACTGAAATTTTGTGTTTCGACGATTGGAAACTACATTTTCTCTTAATATCTCCTCAACGAAGCCCCATCCGACGTTTTTGCAAAGGAAACTTTTGTTCGGAATCGTCTCAGCTATCCCCCATTTCCGGCTCCTCCCCGAGTTTTGGGACACCCTGTATACCCGTTTCCGGGACTGGAAGTGTTGGCCTTTACGACTCGGATCGTCTCGAGTAACGTCCAGATGATTACGTGCATTTAATTAAGGACCCACGGTCACGTGGCTGGATAAAATTAGACAGCAGCGAATAAAATTGAACGTTATACTGCGGCAGTAACTGCAACCCTTGTAGAATTTGTAAATGTACCGCAACCGAGCTCTCCAAACATGCACAGCTGCAATGGCAGCCACTGTACGTACAATACGTGAACACGTAAGCAAACTATATTTCGATCGAGGGTGCGTTTAGAATAATTCCATCGAAATCAACGAAAATCTTTCACCTCTACGTTCGCTACGTTCATCGCGTAGTATCGAAACCCCGAATAACGCGCCACTAACAAAATCGATATCGATTTTATTTCGTCGATACATGATGGAACTATTCTTAAAATCGTGAAATAATTCGAAATTCGTTTCGATTCCTTTCCGTTTGCTTTATTCAACGACTTTATTTAACGAAATTTACTGATCACAGGATTTCGTAATCTTTACTGCGTGTTCTCTTAATTAGATAACAATAACACGGAAATATAAGACTTTCTTTTCTCTGAATTGTTGGACAAGCTAAGACTGAAACCGTTCGTCTTATTCGATGTATCAAAAAGTCTCACGACCTTATCGATTGTTCACCGGAAACAGGATTAATTTTTAAATGTCCAGCCTTGTCGGAAATACGCACCATGGGTTGTATCGGGTTAATCGAGATCACTTCGAAGCTTTTAGCGGATAGAAATAGCCCATTAGAAAAAATAAACCGAGAATAATAGTTACGGAGACAAAGTGTTCCCGTTTCGAGGATCGATATAACCTTCTTAGCATCGTGAGTGGCGCATCGAATAGAGCCATCAGACGGAGCAAATAACGCGATCTCGAGGGTGGCACTCGCTGCGTTTATTCGCCACCCGAAACGTTTTCATAGCGTCTGGAAGTCGTCGTTTCCCTTCGTCTCGAAATGTGCCAACACGACGGGAATCTGCCAACCATACGATCGCCTAGATCACTGTTTACCCAACAACAGAATACCATCAACGAACTCGCGCAATAAAGATTTAATCGTTACTTTAAACTAGGAAGAAAGATTTACGCCGAGAAAGCAAAGACGAGAGACGAAGTATGCGTGGTTGTTTTCCCCGAAGGAATGGGCGCGGAGACGGATTACCAATTCGTCGTGAACGTAGACCGGAAACAGCCGTACTAAATTTCCGGGTGAAAATGTTCCAGGCCGGTGTCCGTGGCACGAGGGAATTAAAAGATTAACGCGAGATCGACGAATCCTGAAGGAACTTTTGGAATGCTCAGATATCGCTGGGGCAGTTCGCTTGGGTTTAACGATTGGAAAGAGGAAGTCGGGGCTTATTCGCCAGGAAATAACGACGCAAATGAGAGCACAAAGTTGGAAAGGGGAAATAAACTTGAACGGCCGATCGAAGCCGCGATTTACGAAGAAACGTTGAGCTTGGATCCTAATTCGTCGAAATTCTTCCATATCGGGCCGAATCTTAAACTTTTAAGAAAACAAACTGGCTATAGTCTCTAAATCACGTTCAAGCACGCGAATATGTGGATGTTGCAAGATATACTCGGGCATCGCTACCTGATCTTCCTCGACCTTGAATGACCTTGAACCACGATTCGTCTAAGGTCCTTCTACTCGAATATTTTCTGAAATGTACTACTACCACGTCAACATTAAAAAGTCCCCTTTTTCTTCATCATATATATATATATATATATATACGCACACTACAGTACATTTAAAAAATCAAAATTCCAATTATATTGTTACCTGAATAATCTCCTCTACGTCTTGCATAAGGAAAAAAAGGCAAGTCGTAGTACTCGCGTTCTTGCGCGAAGTAAGTTTTGTTTACAGCACTTTGTTCCACAATTAATAATACCACGTACACTTCCCGGTGTACTGTTTCAAACCCCACCCTACGCGTACCATGCTCTTATTCGTCATCCATCGTTTGAACGATATGCTGTACCGTCTCTGCCACGTAACGTACGCAAACATCGATCGCAAAGGACTTTTCGCGAACACCGATAACACGGAAACGCGACGAAAGGCATTGTTGCTTCTGCTGGAACCGACCGTTCCAGCGTGTTCGAATTTTGCCGAGATGCATTAGAGATCATGGGATTAGCGACACGGTTTGAGGGCTCGTGAAACGTTTATGGGTCAGCTTGTTAATAAATAGCCACGCCAGATCGCGTAAAAGGCCCGTTCATCCGTCGAGCGTACGTGTTTTATTGCCTCGGGAAGGTGAACAAAATGGAAAAAACGTGAGAAAATATTCGTTGCATATCGATCGGTGGAAAACACGACGCGGGGTCAGGTTAAACGTGATCGTTGGTTGGGAGATGATTTTACTGTTTTTGTTTGTTGTTCGGCACGATCGATCGTGTACTCGTGATTCATTTCACGAAACCAGTTGGTAAAATAGGTGGAAGAATTATATTTTAATCGATCAATCAGGCACCAACGCTTAGCAAATGTTACGGGGGTTTGGTTTAACCTTCGATCGTGTGCATTTCATTCTATCTTCCTTTGTTTGAAATTTCGCGTGTGCAAATATTGTGAAATTTCTTGAGCGAACTTTACGACGCAGTTTGTGACTGAATACATTACGCGATATAGACGTAAAACGATGGAATTCCTTTAAAGAATGGAATTGATTTCATTTCTGAAAAATGATATTATTTCTTGGATGTTTGTATCTGAGTGAAGTTATAAATACGGAAAATTAATCGTGTAAAAAATTTGGACTTAATTCTCTATACTTCACTGATAGCGCTACATCGACAGACATATTATCCACGACAACTCAATCAATTAATGAATTCAAATTATACATATTTATAAACCCTCGAATGTTTTTGGTATCGAGGTATTTCGTACAATTACTTCTTGCTTAAGGTAACGGATAATTTCCTGTACAAACTCAGAAGAAAACGAAGAGTATTTATGAATTTATTTCAAAAATAGTAATCAACATGTAGTGAAAAAGTTTGTTGATTTAGATATCGTTGAGATTAACATGAAAAACGTGCATCCCATGGTTTATAGAACGATGCTCTTTATGTATGCGCCGATGATGATTACGATAAGGTTCGTCCCTTTCACTTCAAAAAATTCATGGAACTTCTAAGATCGTTGATTTTGTAAGCTTGAACTTTCACAGCAATTTCATCGCTCGAAAAGTTTCCACGTCGAGTCATCGATCCCGCAAATAAAGACCCGTACTTTAAATATCCTCATCAGCGTCATTCAAAAAAAACCATCAACTCGAACAATGTTCAAACACGCATCGCAACTCTTGTTGTTCGCTCTACGTTATTCGCTTCTCAAAAAGTAAAATAAAGTGAAATATTCTTTAAAGAACCACCTTGCTACTACGGTAATAAATAAATGAATAAATAAATAAATAAATAAATAAATAAATAAATAAATAAACTCACCTTCGATGGTGGTTAGTTCGGGTGGATCGGAGAGCCCCAGCGCCAGCTGATCCTGAACGATCCACCAGGAGACGAGGACCGTGCAGACGAGCCTCGCGACGTAGTTGGGCTTCCTCGAGGTGTAGGCGAACGATGACGACGCGGATGACGGCAGGGACGCCGTCGTGACGACGGCGTCGGTGGCCTGCATCTTCACGATTGGCCCTGACACGCGGCACTTCACGCGCACCCTTCTTTCTCTCCTTCGGCACCCCTCTGTACGCGTACGTCGTACGCACCGTCGAGCACCTGCACGCAGGTCGAAGCCTGCCGTGACCGTTTCCGGTATCACATATCCGTGGGATCAGGCCGCGTGATCGATACCACGCGCATACTTCCGCACGTTCCCCGACACCGTTCACCCGGACGTGACAACAAAAACCGCCGCAGAAGACCACTGCCAACGGCGTCACGCGTTCTCTTCGACCCCTGGCTCGCGCAAATCGGCCCGAAGAGGAGAAGGAGGAGAAAAGGCTGAGGGAAGGGTTCACGGGAAACGACACGATCGAGCTGCTGTGCTGCCGCAACCACCACCGCCCCCGCCCCCCCACCCTCTCACTTTTTGTCCGTGAACGACGGGTACGGACTCATGGGCACGGATCGAGGGTACCACACTCAGCTGCAACGCTTGCAACCTCTGTTCGCGAACACGGCGTTCCCCCGACGACGTCGATCGTTCGTTCACGTCTGTTACCGTCTACCTGACGTTCCTCTTCCTCCCTATCGGCCCGTTTCTCGTCACGAGTACGTGTGCACGAGACGCACGAACGTTCATGGAACGGCTGAGGCCGAGCGAAACGACGCACCGAACCACGATGCTGTGTTACGCGACGGCCGAGCGTTCACGATGTGGAGCAAGCAAACAACGACCGTAGCCGCTCCGGGGGTGGCCGCGACGCCAAGGCGCCGGCGTCCTGCGCAATGCACGCGAGACAGCCACCACGCTTTCCACCCACTGGACGCCTAACCAACAACTCCCAACCCCTACCATCCCGTCTGCACGCCACCGTTGAACGTCGCAGGGCCGAACACGGTGCGTTCACGTACGGTCGTTCTCGCGTCTATCCTGCGATACTACACCCGAGGGAAGTCGAGGTGACGTGGCTAGGGTTGGCTCTGTTTTGCGAAGTAAAACAGTCGGAGGTGTAGGGAATTTTTATGCGTTGCGCGCAAGTATCGAACGTTGGGAACTCTTCGTTGCGATATGCGAGCATGTAGGACTGGTTGGGTAGTAACTATGTTTCCGCGAAAACAGTTTTGTATAAGTTCGACGTTCATATTTTATTTAACGTCAGTTTATCCATTTATCTGCTTATGTATCAATATATCGAGCTATCGACTTATCTAGCAATGAATTTTTTCCGGTATAGAGATCGAAAAAGCCTAGGCAACCGAAGGCACATGTGTTCGATTCTTCTAAGTACGAACGCATGTGCCTTCGTTTGCCTCGTACCTTGTAGAATCGACC